TAAAAATCAAGATATAAGTGAGGTTTTTTTTGTTAATAATAGGCAAACTCTAATAGATATTTACCCTAATGAAAATAAGTGGATCCAGTTAAAAAATCTTGAAAAACTTCTTCAACCGATGTACAAAGCTACGAAATTGCTATCAACCTCAAAGCATCCAACAATTGGTGATATGCATTTGGCGTTTTTTGGAATGTTTGATATGTTGAATAATTTTATTAAATCTAATTCCCAAAAAGAGGTTGCAGAATTAATTTATAAAAAATTAATAAGTTATTGGAATTTAACTTTAGACGAAACATTTATTTTATCAGCAGTTTTTGATTCGTGATCTGAACTTATGTCCTTTACTATTGAACAACTTGATAATGTCAAGCAAAAATTACAAACCATTTTTGCTATATATCAACAAACCAATAATCATTTGTTACACTCAAGTCAACAACATCCGAATCAACAACCTTTATCACGTCTATATTTTCAAAATATTTTAAGTAAAAAATTATATTTTCAAAATATTTTAAGTAAAAAATTATATTTTCCAACTCACTATGTCAATGAAATATCCCATTATCTAGATAATGCCTCTGAATTTGATGCAAATCTATTATTATGGTGGAATTCACATCAACCGGAATACCCAATATTATCAAAGATAGCCTGTGATTATCTATATATACAAGCTACAAGTATAGCATCCGAACAAGAATTTTTCTTGGCTGGTCTTACAATTAGTAAAACATGAACATGTTTATTACCGGAGACTGCACAGGCTAGTTTATGTTTAAAAGATTGGATAGCAGGTAAGTATAATAAAATTCAAATTGATGAAAATGATTTGAATACTGTTATTGGTAAACACTATAGAAATTAATGAAACTAAAAAAAAAAGATTATTTTACTAATCTTAATAATAAAGAGAAATAGTTAAAAAATTGTTTTTTTAAAAAATTTTTTTTAATTTTTTGGCTTTTTTTTTAAATTTAAATTTTTTATTTTTTTTTATTAATATATATATCAATAAGATAAATATATTTAGATTATTCTTAGTTTTA